ACGAGGTAAAGAACCGTAAAGAAACCCTCGAAGGAGCTTATTTCGCTCACCAAAAAAAAAACTATTACACGAATAAAAAGAAATGTAAACAATGATAAACGTAAATTAATTAAGTAAATAGTCCTTTTGCCATGCCGGGGCCATTCGGACTCGACGTCCCCTCCTGTAGCTCTCCGCTCCTGTCGTCTCCTCGTCGTCCCCTTCCGTTGCTGTCCCTGGTGCCTCCTCGTCATCCCATGCAAGCTTGCCTTCGTCGTTCACGACTCGAGTCTGCCCCTCCCCTTTGCTGCCGTCATTGGGTGTATCAAGCAAGTTCTTTAGTGATGAAGTAGTGAAGAACACAAAAGTGAGGCTTAATCCCTCCAACGGTGAGTCGCTCAAGTTGACGTATATTTTCGTTACAAATGAGGGTAACAGTGTCATAGGGAGAAAAATTATGGAATTCCCTAGAAAAATTAAGGAATTCCCTAAAATTACACCCTTCATAGGATAGATAAAGAAATTTACCAAGTTCCTTCATGTTCATTTCTATATCTACTCCATTTACGGAGGATTTGAGTACTTTTCCATTGTATGAAAGATTGACATAGAATAGCCGAACAAGATTTGGGCAATACAATTGTAATAATTGACGCAAGAAATTTGTAAAACCAAGCCTATCATTAATCATAGTGGCTTGAGAAAAAGGTTGATGACAAAACACAACATGCTCAACGGATTTTGGAGTAAAAATAGGACGATTCAAAAAATTACTGAAAAACAAACATCGGGAGTCACTCTTGGGAAAAACAGACGAGGAGACATACCGTTGCTCTTGGGTATTTCTTGATTCGGTGGCCAAGTTCTTTGTGCGAGGGTGCTTGTTTCTTCATCCAGCCATGTCGCTAGGGTTAGAAAAGAGATGCAGGGAATCTATCGAAGCACATACAAAATGACTTATTTACAATCTAGCTAGCAAATATGTAAGATTAAACAACAAATTTGCAAGAAATTTGAAGAAATTGATGAAGAATTTCGTACCTGAGGTTCTTCCGTTCGCAAAGCAGAGATAAAGAGACCGAAAAAATGAAAGGGAGAGGGGAATCGCAGAACAAATAAGTATATATACACGTAGTTGAGGTGATTGATCCACTCAGAATGATCGATCCCACAAAGAAATAAACTTATCTTGATTTAGTCTAGGTGATCAATCTAGGGCAGGGGATCGATCCGGCGTATTAAACCCTTGTTATGCGAGAACTCGAAGTGATCGATCTAAAAGAGTTGATCGATCCACCGATAAAAAAACGTGACGTGTTATTAAATTTAAAAGCCCAGATGATCGATACATGACGAGTGATCGATCCGCCAAAGAAATACTTTGAGTCCAATTTTAATTCCGACCTCCAGGTGATCGATCCAATGAAGATGATTGATCCATCAAAGAAGTTTGTGGAGTCTAGTTTTAATTCCGGCCTCCAGGTGATCGATCCAATGGTAGGGATCAATCCCCTTTATTCCATCTTCGAAAAATATCTTTAAAATTTGATTTTGTTGCTTTTTTGATGAAGCTCGGAACCTGAAACATTAAAAAGAGACTCTGCAAAAAAAGATTTGTTGCGCTTCCGACGCTCAAGTTAGTAAAGTGAAATAAAAGAATGAATTAGTTCATAGAGATGTCCAAAATACCATGTTCATTCTGAATGTGGAAGAAACTCTCCCTACTAAGGGGTTTTGTAGAAATGTCCGCCAATTGATGTTTCGTATCAACAAACTCAATTGTGACATCTTCCTTTTGAACGTGATCTCGTATGAAATGATGCCTAATTTCAATGTGTTTAGTCCGAGAATGAAGAACAGGGTTTTTCGTTAGACTAATAGCACTCATATTGTCACACCTAATTGGGATGTGATAAAGTATAAGGCCGAAGTCTAGTACCTTGGTAGCGTTTAACGTCTACCTCTTTACCTTTATCATCCTTGTCGAGATAGCAAGAGGTTCTCATTGGTGTGTCATTGGATTTGGATTCAGTAACATTGAATCTCTTTAACAATTCCTTCCAATACTTCATTTGACACACGCATGTTCCTTCTTTGTATTGCTTAATTTGTAGCCCAAGGAGGAATTTTAATTCTCCCATCATCGACATCTCGAACTCGCTTTGCATCATATCAGAAAAATCTCTGTATAAAACCTCGTTATTAGCACCAAATATGATATCATGTACGTAAACATGAGCCGAAAGGATGTCTCGGTTCTCATTCATTATAAAAAGAGTAGTATCCACTTAACCCCGTTTGAACTCATGGTCCAAAAGAAATTTTCTTAACCGTTCATACCAAGCATGATGTGCTTGTTTGAGACCGTAAAGTGCCTTTTTGAGTTTGAAGACATGTTCGTGAAACTCAGTCTTCAAAAGCCGGGGGTTGTTCAACATACACTTCCTCTTGAATGATACCATTAAGGAAGACACTTTTTACATCCATTTGATAAAGTTTAAAATCCATCGTAGATCTAAATGCAAACAATAAACAAATAACTTCTAAACGTGCAATCGGTGCAAAAATGTCCTCATAATCAATGCCTTCTTCTTGATTGTAGCCTTTCGCTATGAGCCTAGCTTTGTTTCTAGTGATTGTTCCATTTTCGTTGAGTTTATTATAAAACACCCATTTTGTGCCTATAATGGAATGATCAAATGGTTTTAAGTTTCTAAAACCCCTGGTTATTGCCCAACCAATACCATAACCATCGGTTATCCCCGTTTGGCTATGGCGTTCGGTTTTTGGCATTGGTAATTGGCATTGATTTTAGCCAAATGATTTTTGGGTTTTAATCTTTTTTTGCTTCTATACATATTTAAAGGTTTTCCAAATGACTAGTTTTTATAAACCACAACCTTCGTTTTTCAGCGTTAGTTATCGGTATTCGGCGCTGGTTATCAACGTTGGTTTTTGGTGTCTGAATCAAACAAGTAGTTTTTGACTTTTTATGGTTGGTTTTTACTTCTTAGCACATTTAAATAGTTTTCAAAAAAAACATGTTGAAAACCACCTTTCGATTTTGATCTTTTAGCAAAAAACCACGTAAAATGGCTTATATTTGGTTAGCCGTGGTTTTTAATTAAATGAAGTATCATATCAAAATTATTAATTGAAAATAATATACTTTTTTATTTAAATCATAAAACACCCCATAAATTTTTCATAAATTACCTAAAACCATAACATTAAAATAATTAATTACCAAATTATGTATACTAATTTTTTCTACTTGAACAATAGTATAAGTGTTATATGCATAAATAGTCCTTTTGGTCTTTCATAAGTAGGTAAATAGTCATATACCTTAAAAACTTGTAAAATAGTCCTTGTGGTTAAAGAATTTATGCATAATTAGGCTCCATTTTGTTCAACCTATTTTTTCTGATCAGGTCTCATTTTTTGTAGTTCTGGTCTGATCTGGTCTGATCTGATTAATTATGATTTGACTTAAAATTCAAATCAATAATTTGATTTGACTTTATAATAACTTTTGAAAATTGTAATGATATTTCATATTATAATGTAATCAATATTTTTTATATGATTATGTTTTAATGAAATAAAATTAGTTAATTCATATATTAGAAGAATCATTCATATTATAATGCAATACTACTTTTAATTTTATGATTATTTTTTATGAAATAAAAATATAGATTTAATATTTTAGTATTTAGTTCATTTATACATTACAATAAATATTTAATCCATATATTCATTAAAAAGTAATTAAATTTAGATAATCAATATAGACAAGAGATAGTATTTTTATCCTTTCAAAAAAAGATAGTATTTTTATTAAAATATGTCATCCTTATAAAATATCAGGGTGTGCTTTGTACTACGAAACTTTTTTTATGATTAATATAACACCTTAGATATAATAGTTATTTCAGTTACACTAAAATATACTCCGTATATGAATATCAAATGTTAATTTTATTTAAGTCATGATCAAACTTGATCAACTTGATGTACTAAAAGATCAAATATTTAGAAACTCAAATTACATGTAGGAATAAAAATGTATTTTAAAAGTAGAATTAGATTGACATTGTCAATGTATTTTAAAAATAATTTTTCCGATGTCTAATAATTAAGGATTACTTTCTCAGTTTTCTATTTAATTTTTTTCCGAAAGTTTATTCTTTTTCATTTTTAAGAATAATAACAAGAATAATAATAATAATAATAATAATAATAATAATAATAATAACAATAATAATAACAATAATAATAATTCTTGATTGGATCTGATTTGATCTGATTCGATCTGATCTGGTCTGATCTGATTTTAGTAAGAATAAGAAAAAAGCAGAAAAAATAAGTTGAACGGAATGGGGCCTTAGTCCCTTCTTTCAGAAAAATGTAAAGCGCAGAGAACATAGGCGTATTGTGTGAAAATGTGAAGCATGTAGCAAAAAGAAGAAGTTTATCTCATGAAATTGGTCTTGTCTTCGTGGTTAAAGACAACGAATGATGTTTTTCTTGCTCTTTTTTCTCACATGATATTACCTTGGAATAAAGCTACTTGAAAATCAGAATAACGTCGAGCTCACATAGGATATTGTACTATTATTCAAGAGTATCACTATAAAAGAGACGTAGAATTTCTTTTAAGAGTTAAACTAAAAGATGGAAGGTACTCTACTATGGTTCAAAGTTATACATCAGCTTTCGTTACTGTTACATGATTGACCTCTTTGCATAATACACATGTGTTGTTTACATTTTTTCAATTTTCTCATATAGAGACAAATTATGCTATGGTTGTTTGACCATAGGGACTATTTGACAATTTCTAAAAGTTTAAGGACTATTTACCCACTTATGAAACATTGAAACGTATGGTACTATATATGTATATAACTCATATTTTAACCGAATCATCTCTTCTTTTTTAAAAATTATTAATTTAATTTTTAAAATATATTGTTTGCATATTAATTTATATCAAAATTGAAAGAAATATACCAAAATTTAATTTCATTTTAAGTATCATAAACAAATACTCATATGAAATTTATTTAGAGGTGAAGAGAGTAGCATTTTAGTTAATTGAAATATTTGTTATAAACGAAGAAGTAAAAAATACTGAATTAGGAAAAAAAATTATTATAAAAATTGAAGATCTCTATTCCATAAATAAATTTATTCTAAAATTTCATTGTAAAATATTTTCATATTTTATGTCTTAAATTAGGTAACATATTAGGGGTAAATTTAAAACCTAATAAGTAACGCACATGTCAACTTTATAAAAATAAAAAATTTACTTTTTGTATACAAAGGATTTATTGAATAATCTTATTCTCAATAATTTAATATAAAGGATTTAGTGCAAATTTTTAATTTTGAAAATTTTATTTTTGATAAAAAGTAAAAGTTAAATCCTAAGTAAATTCTATAAATAGTCCCTAATTAAATGTGGTTTTCCATATATAGTCCCCAATGCTTAGATATTCTATAAATGGTCCTCAATTTTTGAAATTTAGTTCATAATTAGTCTTTCATGGACTATTTGTGGAAAAAATATTTTTTTAGATTTTGCCTAAAGGACTATTTAAGAAATAGTTTTACAAAATTAAAGACTAATTAATTATGGAATATCTTAGAATTAGAGACTAAATATGGAAAAACATTTGTAATTGAAGACCATTTATGAAATTTATGCTTAAATCTAATTTCAAGTATTATTGAATAGAGTCTAGCTCATGAATCAAATTCTAAATAATTTTTCTTGTATTATGCCACGTGCATACGGCATATTGGAGTCTCAAACTTACATATCCCCTTATTCCCCTGTGGTCTTGAAAAAGTCTTCCTCTTTTGACTCTTTTAGTTAGATATTGACACTCTTTCGTCTCCTTGACCACAAATTAAACATAATTTAAATAAATAAATGTTATAAGAATTTGATGTATGAAGACTATGCCTATGATGAGTTCAAATATATTGAATTTTTATTACAAGTTAATATACTTTTCTCACTTTTTATAGTCAAATAATATCATTATTTGACAAAAAATTAAAATAAGAAGAGTTTTTAGAAGTGGAGAGGCATAAAAGATTTATATTAAATTTACATACACATACATCATATATATGTGTGTGTGTGTATATATATGTGGGGACAAATAAAGAAAGAAAGAAAGAAAGGGGGGAAGGGAGTATGTATATATATATATATATATATATATAGGAGGAAATCATTTAAAGAATTGGTACTGCGACGCTCCGGATAATAAGAGGGGGAGTCCATTATTTAATCGCGCAGAATAAAGTGCGTGCTCCCTCGTCTCTTCCGACACTTGAGATAGATAGAGACCATCTGCCCTGAGAGATTATAAATAAATATAAATCCTAAAGGCGGCCTGCAGGCGATATACAAATATCTTCCGGCAGGTCGGATCTGAGAGATTATCAAGTGAGGGAGGGAGGGGAGGGGGGAATTGAAGGCCGCCGGAGGTATAGATCAGATATAGATAGAGAAAATGGAAAGGGCGGCGGGGGGGCGCGGGATACGGGTGGTGTTGGGGATGCTGCTGGTTCAGGGTATTATGGCGGGGTTACAGATTCTGTCAAAGGTCATACTCGGGGAGGGTGCTTTTGTTTTCGCCCTCATGACTTACCGTCACGTCGTCGCCACCCTCTGCGTCGCCCCTTTTGCTCTCCTATGGGAAAGGTCCGTTAAATTCCCCTCCATCTCCATCTCCCTTTTTCTCTCTTCTTGTCTCCATTTAAACATTATTTTCTTCAATCCTTTTTTGTAAAGTGTGTCCCTCATTCCGCCCAGTCAAGCTTCATTTATTTTATTTATTTATTTTAACTATTCTTTTCTTTTTTAAAAAAAATTAATCTAATTTTCATATAGTTTTTTAATATATATATTAATTTTAAAATTTATAACAAGAGGGAAGAAGTATGAAAAGCATCTCTGAAAATTACTAAACAGAGGTAAGAATTTACTCCTAAGACTAATGAAAAAGGTATGCGGTAAACTTTTATGGGATTTCAAGAATGGGACACGTGTCCAAGGACATTTTTTTTTAAAGTAAAAGTTACAGGTATTTATTTTTACACTATATTTGGTTCAAATAATTTGAAATAAAAAGAAAAGAATATAAAGCTTTTCTCGTTTCTCTTCAGCGAAATGATAAAAAATTGTTTTTCGATCACATCTCCTTTTCTTTTTCTTCCTCTCTAGTCAAATAAGAAAAAAATTATTTTTCATCTCATTTTCGTTTTACTTTTCTGTCAAATTCTTCGAATCAAACATAATGTTAAATAAAAAATATTAAAGAATCGATTTGAATTCATTTAAATTTATATTTATTAATATGTGTTTTGGATTATTATATATATATATATATATATATATATATATATATATATATATATATATATATATATATATATATATATATATATATATATATATATATAAAATTTAATATATATTTCGATCCTTACCAATAATGTGGCTAACAGGGAGAGCATGAAGGAATTGAGCTTGACTGTGGTAATGTGGATCTTTTTGGTTGCACTCTCCGGGTAAGCGACCCACCTAATAATTAATCATACTAGTTTTAATTATTATTATTATTATTATAAATAATAGTACTCCGTTTAATTTATTTTATATGTGAACGCAATAGTTTTCTTTCTGATCTGTCCGAACGCAAAATATGTCTAATTATCATAATGTTGGAAAGGGCATTAGGCATTGACTAGCTAAATGGCCGGGTTTAATTAGACGAAGTTGGCTTTTTTAATGGGTCAATTCTATTAAGCCCGTAAGGAGTGGGCNCCCCCCCACCCCATTCTTCTTTTTTAACTATTGAGTTCGCTTTTAATGTTTGACTTGTAATATTTTTTTAAAAATATATGAACAAAATAATATTAACAATAATACATTTAAAATATATTTTGTTGAACCTTTATGACACAAAATACATTTTACAAAAATGGAGGGAGTAGTCATCAATGTTCAACTATTTCCGCAAACGTGCCCCATAAACACACAGCACCACAATAAGCTCCGGTCCGTAAATTTATTAGCGCACAACACGTGTGGTCACCAATAGAGGAAATTAAGGACGATTGACCGTTGATGTGATTAATTGCTCCTCCTCATCAATTAAATTATAATTATGTGGTGGATTATACTCCGTAGTAAACATAATCAGTTTAATTGCTCAATTTTTAGTTTCGTCTCACTTTTTACAAATTTCATAAAACTGATACTCCCTAGTAAATTCATCATTAGTAAATTTAATTTATAAATGATATTGATTCATACCATATGTGATAACTGATAAATGTGAATAGTTTTCAAAATAGTTCTTTGTTTATGGACACATTTGGTTTATTTTTTTTTATTTTTGGTTAGTTTTTATTCTTAGAATCAACTACTAAAAAGGTAGCTAATTCAAGATATTCGTGTAAGGTACATTCTTAAGTGGACCTAATTAAGGTCCACCTAAAAAATAATTCCTCCGTCCCAAATTATATTACAATCTTTTTTACTCTTCTTTCGATTCCTTATCTCTATTTGTGTGTCTTCATTTAGTATTTAATAATAACTCCTAATTTGTAATCAAATTAGGGACGAAGGGAGTATTTAATTTGTAGTAGTTAATCAGTTACAAAAGTATTTTTATAATGTTGTGATAAAAAATTATTTTGTTTTACTTATTTCTTATTTTCTTATAGGTGAGAAGACTTGTGTTTTGTATGCCTATATGAATTTTAGGTTCACAGTAGAAACACTCCAATTATGTCTTTACAAAAATGCAAAGTATAATTTAAAATAAATAAATGTAAAAAAAACTGATACAGTATATCACAACAACATCTTTAAATAAATAAATTAAGATATATTAAGTTTAAATTACATAACTAAATTATATTTATTTCTTACAATTAGTACTCAACAATAAATTCAATTCAAAAATTGAAATAAATTCAACAACTAACAAATTCTGAAAAACAAACCCCAAAATCATTCACTGTATAGAAAGTGATGGATACCCAATATTTTCCCTAGGACTGTAGATCGGCCCAGGTCCAAATATAGGTATCCGGGCCTTATAATATTGAAAGATAATACGAGAATAGTAATTAATAGTATGAGAAGTATTGCTCACAGAATAAGAACTCAAAACCGGCTGTCCTTCCCTCTATTCGGTCCACTTAGGATCGAAACATACTCAAGGATTGCCGGAATATCTTTTATTATTACTCAAGTATTTTCTCTCTCTATAACAAGATGATCCCTCCTCTCTTAGTCCGTCTTTCTTTTATAGGCGCTCCCCTCCACTATCTCATTCAAATAATCACAGTGGTTGTGGTTGGGGAGGATATTCATGCTAGCCTTGCTTTCTCCGGGAGGGATGTATCTCAGCTTGAAGCCGTCCACTGGAGGACAAGCCTGTCAGTCCATCTCTTATTCCCTGTCCTTCGTCCATCCCTTTCTCCTCGTCCATGTCCCTCTTGTTGAGGGGCGGCCTACCCTAATCTCTTCCATATGATTCCTTCCTTTTGAGTGACTTATTCCTAATGGGCTGGGCTTCAGCCCATTCTTAAGTCCCAACCAATCCTTTTCCTTTTCCTATCTTTCCTTACGGACAACTTTCCTTGACCGACCCAATATATTTTCTATGGGCCGAATTCTCCTTTTGATGAACGGGATCTAAATTGGGTCTAGGCCCAATTCGCTGGTATTCTCTCGATGGACTTGGTTCCCATCAGAAAGTTATAGAAAACGAGACCAAATCGATCCCTAAAAGTCGAAAATACTGTAAACTATTGTAAATAATTGTGTAACGTACTCCGCAGTAATTTTTCCCCTAAATGTCAATATCGGTTTCCCTAGCTTAAAAACTGGTGCACTGACCAAGCATCTAGCCAGCCAGATTTTCATACTACGTAAGAAATCAATGATCAGAAGAAAGTTTTCCCTACTTGTCTTCTCTAGAAATTGAACTCACGCCTTTTTGCACCCCTTAAAAATACTTCATCTTTCACTTTTTGTTTTTCTGAAAAACACTTTCATCTTCTATTAAAAAATCATTTTTATCGCTACTTTTTCTTACCATAACCACAACATCATACTTTTTCACTAACAATTTATCCACAACATTTTAGTTTTACCCATCACATCAAAAACAAAATTAGAATTTCAACTTCAAATATACATTCTTTATTTCTCATAAAAGTCAGAATATGAACCGTTTTATGAAACGAAGAGAGTACTTGACAGTCAGGGTCGCCTCGAAAATGAAATAAAATTATATTGGCCCTACGCAAAATTTACATTTTGGGCTCTTTTTTGTTTTTTGGAGAAAATTTATGCTTTAAAATTAGTGCAAAATTTAATTTTTAATAACCATCTTTATAACAAATTAAATATAAAAATGTTAATTTATAATAAGTTAAAAAATACAAAAAAATTAAAGTAATGAAGATCTATCAAAATTAAATCTTACTCTCTCCGTCCTATAATGTTCTTCTAACTCACTTTTTACACAGTCAAACATTAATCACTTTCTTTACTTATTTTCATTAGGTATTTGATAAAATAATATAGTCTTGTCACCACTTGTTTAATAAAACTTTATATGTAGTTTTTAAATATATAAATTTTATTTTTTAATTTTACACTTACAATCAAATAAATTGAATTAAAAATAAAGTCGATCAAACTTCGTAAACTGAACCGGGAACAACATTATAGAACAGAGAGTAAAAGTTTGGAGGAGATGTGCTGGGACACACCACACCTTACACACTATGCGGCCGCCCATGCTTGAACAATGTTCCGGGGCAGAAGATTTATATACTCCCTCCGTCCCAAATTAATTGCCACATTTGCTTTTTCAACAGTCACGGGAACTTTTGTTTATTTCTACGTTTTCATTGGTTATTTGATAAAATAAAATATTCTTGACACCTCTTATTTCGAAGAACTTTTCATATAGTTTTTTGATATGTAAATTTTATTTTTTATTTCTTTACCAATATGTAAATAAAATAAATTAAAAAAACTTGATATTTTGTCTCGGTAATAGAAATGTGACAAATAATTTGGGACGGAGGGAGTAGTCTTTTTTTGTTGTTGTTGGGTGAGGACGCAATATAATGGGCAAAGCAAGCCCATTAGGATGTGGAGACACGTGCCCTTCAAACTAGAAAAGTGTACGCAAGCACGTACCGCTAAGCATGAATTAATTGTCCGCCTTAAATAATCTGCTAGAAAATATTTCATCCGTCCCAAATTATTTGCCACATTTGCTTTTTGAATAGTCACGAGAACTTTTGTTTACTTCTACGTTTTCATTGGTTATTTGATAAAATAAAATATTTTTGACACCTCTTATTTCGAAGAACTTTTCATGTAGCTTTTTGATATGTAATTTTTAGTTTTTATTTTTTTACCAATATGTAAATAAAATGAATTGAAAAAACTTAATATTTTACTTCGGTAATAGAAATATGACAAATAATTTGGGACGGAGGTAGTAAGTCGAATTATTACTCCCTCCATTCTAGAAAAGAAAATTGATATGATTACATATTTTTTAAAAAAAGAAATTCATTCACTTCATATATTTACAAAATTATTTCTACCACATTTTTATTTTCGAAATATGATTTAAAATATATTTACATTATCAAACATGGTCATGTACATTACCAAAAAGTATAGTAATGTGCACATGTAGATGCAATGTCACATTATAATGATATTACTACAATGTGAAGTTCTATTTCGAGTAAAAATAAAAAAACATGAAAGTTTAATTTTAGTATTTTTTTTCTATGTTTTAGTCATACTTATGGTCATTTGTATATTTTGGATCCTATAATCTTCCACGCCTCCAAGCTGGACTGGATTTGTTTTGTTGTCTATTCAATCTACTTTTCATCCCTTCATTCTAATGATGTCTTTATTCGTTTTTTTTCCAATTGAAATAAAAGCAATCTAAACCGACCATTTTGTCTTAAAACACTCCCACCCTGTTTCGTTTTACAAGTTTTAGAGTTGTAAAATGATGGTCTTGTGCACAAACTTAGATCTGATCCAAATTAAATGTTTTAGAGTTCAAAATTTTTTACTCCCCCTGTCCCTTAATGTTTATCATACATTTCTAGAAATGAAGTAAAATATTAAGTTTTTTCAGTTCATTTTATTTAAATATTGGTATCGAATTAAAAAATAAATTTACATATTTAAGATCTAGCTAAAGTTCTTCAAAATAAAAAGTGTGAGAAATTTACTTTATTTTATTAAATAATCAATGAAAACATATAAATAAACAAAAGTTTCAGTGACTTTTGAAAAAGTAAATGTGACAAACATTTTGAGACGGTATTTAGATTTGAATTATATCCTTGAAATTCCCAACAATGCAAAATTCAATTATTACACTGAAGTAGAATTCATGTTCGAGTAAAGTGAACAAGTCAAACCCAACAAAGAAGAATACTCTTTAACGCTTTAATTTCAATTTTGTCCCATAATACGGAGTACTAAATTTGATATAATGTAAATTTAATATAATTTGGTCTATTTAAAGATTAAATTAAAGATTAAATTGATTTGAATTAAGTCGAATATAACTAAATTGAATTGAATTAAATTTAAAAGAAATGCATTTAACACAACTGAAACATAAATGGCAAAATATTAAACTAAAATTCATTGAACATGAGTGAATTGAATTGAAAAATAAAACGAAGAGAACGGACTCTGGTTTGGTTTGCATGCTTATTAAAATTAATTTTACTCCTATGTTTTTACAATAATTTTTTTTTTACCAAAAACATACTCCCTAAAATTAAATCACTACATGTGCTCGTAATTCTCTACTTAAACGTGAACAATGAAAAAGAACATTTGTTGGGTGGATAGAATATGATGGACTTGATAAAAAGGAATATGAATATTAGTTATGGCTGATTGCTTTGAATATTCAATTTCATTTCATCAATCTAAACTAGTGCCCGGAAATAAATTAATCTGTTTTTTCAAATTTAATCTTCTATATAAGTTGAATGAAGAAATTAGAGATAAATGATGGCAAATTATTCCGTGAACCTAAGGCCCATAAACATTATATAGATTTTAGTGTATTTGTAGTATAAAAGAAGTGGTTTTTTTCAAAAAAGTAAATATTCACATACTATTTACTTTATTACTGTAAAATATAGTATATGTTCATACATACTCAATATATTAAAAAGCATATACGTAGTAGCTATTACCTTCACCGGGTTCGAACTTGTGACCTATAATTTGGGAGAGTCACCTTAATGTCGCTGAACCACAAGGTCTATGGCCTGATAATTTTTATTTATTTGTGTATTTTCATTGATTATTTAATAAAATAAAATAATTTTATCTAATATTTTATAAAACATTTGATGTAATTTTGAATTATGTAATTGTATCTTTTAAATCTTCACATATTTTTAAATAAAACAATTTATAAAAAAATTTAAGATTTTTTGAGTTATTCAAAATGAGACGGCTATTTTGGGACGTATGGAGTAATTGTTATCAAAGGAGTGAAATTTTGACTATAATAGAATTTTCCTTACCTAAAATATGAGAAATAAATTACTCATATTTCACGGAGCAATAACTATTTTACCTAAAAATCAAATCAAATCAAATGGTGATAAATATTCTTTTAAAAATAGGGTGGTTATTATAATTCTATTCGTCTCTGATTTAAAGTCACATTTCTCAATTAAAATATACTCAACACTTCTCTTATTTCTTTATTAGGAAAAGAAATTGTGGATCACAATATTTTATATTTTAACACTTTCGAGTAATTTATCTAAATACGACTAAAACATAATGACTTTCTCAATATAGGGCCATATGTTGTTATTTTCTTATGTAGGACCATTGATCATTATCTATTAATCATTATTCAATTAGTCATTATTAAGTCTTATTAAGGAAATAAAAAGTTTAAATTCTACGTTTAGAAATTATGTTTCAATCATATTCAGTTCACCTGATAAAAGGATTCACAAATTCATGCGGAGTAATAGTCCGTGGATTAATAAAATCTTTTCCCATTGAGACCAAAAAATGATTGTAACCGTTTGTAACGCCACGTCACTTGAATTGCTAGAAGCATGTGGCTTGTGAGCTTGTTCAACTTTTTTTTTTTGGGGTGAAAATAACAATCCGCCTCATTAATCATATCGATAATACTAATTTATTTTTAAATCTATTAAAATTTCAAAATTTATATTAATAATTAAATACATAAATCTTAAATTCATTTTATTCAAGTAGAATAAATGGAAACAGGACTTGGACCAAATAAAACAATAAAGTTTGCACCAAAAAGAAAAGAAAAAGGAAATGACACAAAAACTTTTTTAGGTAAAAAGTTGTTTACTACAAATTAAAATATTATACTTTTATAGGAATGAACCCACAATACATTGTAATAGTAATAGAGCCTGAAAAAGAAATTAAATAAGTTGAAGGATAGAGCTGTAACAATGAAAGCCGGCCAAAATGATCCGTATATCAATACATACACGTACACCAAATTAGTTTTAAGCCCAATTACTAATTTAATATATATGGGATAAGCACTGCTACTAGTGTCGAAACTAATTATATTAAAGAGAACAAATCAAACTTGACAACCATGCTTGAAAGATACCGGTGAAAGGATGTGATCCGTCTTCAAGTATATCTATACATATATATGGAGTATTTAAAATGTGTAGGCATTAATCTCCTACTCTAAAATATATTCCTAAACACCCCACAACTACTTTGCTCTAGCTAATTTGTTTGCCAATTTGCTTATTCTTGTTTATTCAAAAATCAAAGTTAGTTATTCATTATATATATATATATATATATATATATATATATATATATATATATATATATATATATATATTCAATTAATATTTATAATTCCTCTATCCTAAAAAGTTATTCTCATTTTGACTTTTATGTGACTTAAGAAAGAAATATTTTTCTAATCATCTTTTCCAAATTATCCTTGAAATGATGAGTAAGTAGGATGTGATGAGTAGATTATTAATAAATTAGCATGATCTCATATGTAGGGTAATAAGAATTAGTAGAATAAATACATAGTAGAATTGAGAAAGGAATTTTGGGACAAGGAAAAAATGAAAAGAGATAGAAAGACTTTTAGGGATGGAGGGAATAATAGAATGTCTAAAATATTCTAAATACAAAATATGTATTGTTGACAATAATTTGTAACAAACTCATTGTCGTCATTTGAAGGCGTGATTTGATATTTAAAACTCATTTATAAGCAAATGATTTTTGCCATGATGGAGTACATGAATAAGAAATCTCCATTTACGATTCTTATTTGCATTTAAGGATCCGTTTCTTGAACTTTGGAAACATGATATGAATTTTGAAATATGGATGAAATGATATGGGTTTTGAAATATCAAATAAAAATGTTTGAAAAGATTTAAAATCATATTTTATTTGGTGGTATGCAGGGGTGGCCTGTTACGGGGGAGGTTGGCTTTGCCAGTGGAGTGGGGAGGGGGTGGATATATAGTGGATGGTTGAGGAGATATCGAATCCCATATTGATATCTCCCAAATCGAGGAGATATCGAAATCCTTTAATTGAAGAACTTATGATATCTGAAGATATCGAATCCGATTTTTTTTAGAGCCTCACTAAATAGTGAAGAAGTATGATATCGGGACATACGAAAATCTATATTTCTTGTTCTCACCAAACAGGCCCAAGTCTTTTTGGATAAGCAATAAATTATTCACTATTGATATTTGACACTCCAAATTTGTCATTGAAAAAAAAGAGTGTCAATGTTGGAATGCCAATATTAAAATTTTAAAATATTAGTAATTTTAAGTATATCAGATCAATACTTCTGTCTCAATTTATATATGTAATGTAATTAGGCCCATGATGCTAAGCTTGAGCTGTCTTTAAGGAATGCTCGCGTGATAGGGGTTGGACCGCCCAATTTGGAAGTGAGGTTTAGGCCCACATGAAAAAAGGTGTGGGCCACGCCAACCCGAAAGCGAAGCGCGCATAGTTGTGGTTATGGTTAGGTCAAATATTTTTTTAAAATTAACGGACCAAATTAGGGATCATGATTTGGAGCATATAGTTTGGCCCAAATAGTGAAAAGCAATATGATTGGGCCCATTTATTTTTGGGAGCCTTGTACCGTTGCACGGGTCCGACGGGCCAAGTGTCGCCCATGCATTAACTAGTGGATCGCGTNGGTAGGACCTCATCACTTAAGGGTTGGGTTATCTCGGCCCATATCACGCCGGTATAATACCAAATTGGATGTGGAGTTTTTCGTGAGAGAGCGATATGGAACAAATGACTTTCTCAAAGTGTCTCTTAAGATATAAATCTAATTATATCCTTGAATTAGAGGTTGTTTGAGGTTGCGTTTAAAAACTACTTATGAGACTATGTTTCATTAAAATGTTGTTTGTAGTGTTTATCAATCTATTTCTGCTTATATATATATATATATATATATATATATATATATATATATATATATATATATATATATATATATATTATGATTTCTGCAATTTAAAATGGGCTCCATAAGTGCTTTAAGCAAAGTTAACAGTATCTGCTTTCCGCTTTTACTTTAAACTTCTGCTTTTTCAACAATCTATTGCACCCCCAAACACGCTCTTAAAATAGAACGTGTGTCTATTGTTGGAATTACCACAGAGCCTTTTATTAATTTGATTTGAATAACTATTGGCTTTCATCACTTTGCAGGATAAGTATGGCTATGGGCTTCTTCTATTATGGTCTCCAAAACACATCAGCTACCTATGCAACAAACACACTCAATTTAATTCCAATTGTCACCTTCGTCTTCTCAATAATTACTGGGTATGATCGATATGGACACATTGCATTTTCGGCCGCAAACACATTACCTTTGAATAAAACAATTTGCTATATATTTCTTTCTTTGGAACTAATTAAATTGGAGTAGAAAAATCCATGGGAAAAAACCAATGTATGAATGTTAATTTTTGGTGTTGGGCATTGAAGTGTTGAGAAGCTGCGGTTGAAAAGCAAGGGAGGAAAAGCCATTCTACTTGGAGCGATGCTCGGCCTTGCGGGTGCATTGACAATCACACTATACACCGGCAAAACCTTTCATCTCTCCCTTATTAGCACCAAGACGAAAGAGGTAATCGTTCCAAAAGTGAAACCGAATTGGGGCCGTGGGACTCTATTTCTTGTGTGTAGCTGTCTAAGTTATGGCTTCTGGTTCATCGCCCAGGTAATTAGTAATAATAAAAATCCATTATATTATATAGTCTCTCTCTATTTTGAAAAAAAAAATATTTGAACATATTTGAATGATTTGTTTGTTTAGGCCAAGTTGTACAAGATATTCCCATACATGTATTCTGCAAACACCATTACATGCATATTTGCAACATTCCAAAGCATGGTATTGGGTTTATGCGTTGATAGAACAAAAGCCTCGTGGAAGTTGGGATGGAATTTGCAACTAATTACCATCTTTTATTCAGTAAGCAAGCGTTGTTGTTGTTATTATTATTATTCTCATTTCATCTCTCGATCTATGCTACTTTTTAATCGATTAAAGGTTCGAGGGGGATAAAATGAATTCAAAACCACAACTCTCTGTGTCGCCGCCATTTTGTTATAGGGTGCATTGGCTACAGCAGCAACATTTTGCTTGATCGCTTCTACAATAGCAAAAAGGGGACCAACTTATCCCTCAATGTTCAATCCGCTCTCCTTAATACTGGTCGCCATTGCCGAAACGCTTTTCCTCGGATCATCCATTTCAGCTGGAAGGTTACGCGCCATTCCTCTCGACTGTCCGATAATGCAAATCTGTTTTGATTTTTATTGCAATATCTTGTGTTTTGCATCCAAATAGCTCACACATGCTAAATGCATGCATGCATGCAGCTTGATTGGCATGACTTTAACCATAGTGGGGTTGTACATGTTCCTATGGGGGAAGAACAGGGAGATGAAGAAAAGCATGCCAAAAAGAATGAAAAGTGAAGCTCAATTACCACCATCGTCGTCAGTTGAACCTGCGCCAGCACAATCAACGGCCATAGTGGTCCCAACGGATGAGAGGCACATTTATATCGGCGACTGTGCCAATGAGGATGTGGCAAACCCGCCTAATTAGCTCGAAAAACGGGGGGGCATTTTAATTTCTACAAATGAATGACTCTAATTGACTTGGTGATCTTGTGTTAATTAGCTAGCTAGTGCAATACTCAACAACAACTTTTGGAATGGCATTTAAGTAATACTCCACCCCTCCCAAATTAATCTTCAAGTTATTTTTCAAATTTTCTTTTGAATAAAAGAAAGGTGATCGATTGTTTTATGTAAGTAAATCTCAATATGTTAGAAATCAGTTTTTTTTTTTAATTATGATGTCAAGTCAAAATTAAAATATTTTAGTGATTTGGGAGTGGAGGGGGTATTTAGTTTGCTTGTGTCCTCATTTAATTTGTTGGTGACTTGAAACTTGAATGTTATTGCGTTGGGCCTTCTAATGCCCCAAATGTAATCTAATTTTGCACATTTTATTGATTCTTTTAGATGGTTGTATGTGTTACTTTTATGACATTAATACATTTGTTTATTACTTCTCAATATAATCTTTTACACTATGTCTGGTTCAAGAAATTAAGATGAAAATTATATTTTCAAAAAAAAAATGGAAGAAAAAGAAAATGTGAAGATAAATCACACTCCGTAGTAATAATACAATTGAAAACAAAATTCATCTTATTGTGGTAAAGAAAATAAGTTAAACTATTTTTTTCTTTCTTTCCAATTTTTTTAAACCAAACATGGTACTCTCTCTGTCCTAAAATTAACTTGTCATTTGACATTTCATGGTGTCTAATGCTATACTTTGATCATTAATATCTATATTTTTATTTAAATAGATTTTATAAAAACAATATATTTCAAAACTATGTTTCAAAATGAATATATATTGATAAAAAAAATTATGTGAAAGTTGAATATATTTTTCCGCAATATGCAGTCTAAATTTATAAAAATTTGACTGCAAAAATCAAACTGGAAAGTTATTTTAGGATGGAGGAAGTATAAGACAATTTTTGTTGGCAAATTGAATTCTTCAAGAAACACTTACCTAATGGCTTGTTTTCAAATTCAAATCTAGATATCACATTTTTCAAGGATTCAAATTTTATCATCGAAATTCAAGTATTCAAATGAATATGGCCATTAGATCAGAGTTGAATGACCAAAAAAAAGAAAGAAAGAAGCTTTGTAAATTGGAAACAATAGTTAACCTTTTCAAGCTTGAGCCAAACTCAACAAAGGCGGGAGGGATAATCACACACTATATAGACTAGCAATGTCCCCTTCGATCTATACAGGGAAGGAGTCAGCTATAGTCCAATAAATAAAGTTCTATATAATCCCACTCCAATTCAATCTGTCTATAGTAGGCTATGATCACCACATATACCCTATATATAATTAATTGGATCATTGCATTCTGATGGGTGAGAACACAACGGTAAGTTTAGCGTGATCCGAGAGTGAATAGTCTTCAGGCCATAATCCCCCCTCCGCTTCCTTTGGGAAAAGAAACGCATTCTGGATGCCGAAACCAATAGTTTCCTCCGTGCCGTTTTCATTATCATCCCATGACTCATTGCATCCTACTTCTCTTTGTTCTGACCATGTTGGATTCCATATGCGTTGCTGTGATGAGAAAAAAAGACTATATGAACACCGTTTATGTTACTGTTTTTAATTTTTATGATTTGTTTTTGTGTTTTAGGAATTAAGATAGAGTTTCATTTCTTGTAAAACTCAGGAATTATGATTTTATCACTTAATTATCATGAAAATGGGTTATGCATTTTGTTTTACCTCGGTATTATTTTTTCGTATTGAATTGAGGCTTACCTAGTTTTCGCCTTTCAAAACCTTGTTAATATCCCCTACTAATGTTTAAAGTACAACGTCTATGGAGTATGGATGGAATAAGAGAAATGAGTAATTAATTAATCGGTCAGAACACAAAATAATACCTTGAATTCTTTGTAATCAACAACACCATTTCCATCAATATCTGCTTGCACCCACAAATCATTGATCTCCTGAATACTTAACCCATAGCAATGGCCAATCAAATTAAGCTGCAGGATCACTAAAATGCATTAGTTACTGACTTTATTGTTGAATTATTAATGTTAATGACAGAAAATGTGTATGTATGTTTAGTTGTCGAATGTTACCTGCCGCAATGCTTCATAGAAATCAGAGTATGTAATGTAATCTTCATCTCTATCTGTCTTTAGAAACGCAAATGCATTCTTCTCTGTCAAAGATGCCCTGCGAAGTTGATACTGAAAAACCCAGAGATCTCATTAGTAAATATAACAAGCGCAACAAACAACTTTACACTATGTTTGGTTCAAGTAATTTGAAAGGAAAAGAAACAAAAATAGTTTTCCCTCATTTTCCTCACCAAATGGGAGGAATTTGGCTCCCCCCAGTACATTTTGCCTTCTCCTTTTCTTTTCCTCTCTAACCAAACAAGAAGAATGTTTTCCTTCTCATTTTCTATTCCTTTCCCTCTCAAATTCATTGAACCAAACAGTGTTACTTGTCTGAATAATTGTCAACCTTAAACATCCCAAAGATGGCCTGACTCCAACTTGTTTTCAGCAACTTCCTGTACTTGTTAGGATTAAGAAGCCATATAAAATCTACTCCACAGATGTTCCCTCGATGATTACGGTGGCTCACCCACTGCATAGGATAGAATGAAATGAGAATTTCATACACTAAAACCTGTATAGAAGAATATCTTTGCCTCCTTGGAACCAAACTAGGCCTCTCTTCATATCGAGAGGCTATAACTAAGTGAAATTTGCACTAAATACTACTAAAACATGTCTTTTCACAATGAAGTACCTAAAACCTTTTATTTCCTAAATAGTATTTGAATAATGTCCAGTGGCGGGAACAATGTCCAGTGATGGTGGACATTTACTTTGAACAATGTCCAGTGGTGATTGACATTTACTTGAACAATGTTTAGTGGACATTGAATAGTGGTACTACACAGGAAAATTAAAATATATGGTACTACATTGAAAAACTATGCTTTAGTACTATATACTGATAAAAAGAAATACCACATGAAGTACATTGCCCTATAACTAAATAGTGCCATATGAAGTGTTTTATTTAGTACTATAAAATATTGCCCTATAACTAAATAGCGCCATACTTACCAAAATTTCGTAAATTGGGACAAAAGTATTTTAAAAATAAAATAGTGGTTGTTCTTAGAAAGAGTACTACTATATAGAAATTCTACCTTATGTGCATCTGCATCGGTGTACTGATGTGCAGTATCATATGATGATACAAATCCTTGAGACCTCAAGAACTTGTAAACATGGCCTCGTTTGCTTCCATTCCAATCCCTTCAAATTTTACAGGACACCCGAGAACAAATAAGATATATATTTGAGCACAACTCATAAACACCCAGTGAAAAAACAGAAAATACCCGCAGAGCATGATCGGCAAAGGACTAAGCATATTCTCCTTTTGATATGACTCTACATATTGCAGTATTTTATAGACCTGAGAAAATGAAGCATGGAATTGTGATATGAAAACAGCACTTAATGAAATTGGCAAGAAGAAGAATAACATATAAATACCTGTCGCAATCGTTCCAAGCATAGACTTGAATCGTGCGGGAACAGCAAGTGTGTGTTAACTATCAGAATTTCTTTTCTAGCATTGATATTTCGACATGGTGAGGAGGGTAATATTAGCTCAACATGTAACAGTTGTGCAACACGGTCTCCAAAATCATTGAAATGCAACTCTTGATGACTTATTACCCTGAAGTAATCCTCATGTACAGCAGTCAGCAGACCTGTGGATGTTAATAGAGCGTGAGTTAAATTGGTAATTACACTTAATTTCCGTAAATCTTGAACAAGATGTCTTTAACAAATGAAAAAAAACTATAATATCATATCAAAGATCAACAAATATCAAACAAAAATGTCCATGGAAAAACTTCATAGAGGTTTCTTTACACTATGTTTGGTTCAAGGAATTTAATATCAAACAAAATGTCCATAATAGTTTTTGTTTGGTTAGAGAGGAAGAAAAAGGGGAAGGAAAAAAAATGAGAAGGCAAAATGAGAGAACCATTTTCTCTTCATTTCCTTCCAAATTCCTTGACCCAAGCATAGTGCAAGTTTATAGCAATAACAATGAGAAAACAGTGCTGTCAGGTAGTATCAATAAATAATTTGCACTTCATAAAATTTAAACAAATACATTGATAAAAAGAAATACCATATGAAGGATAAAAATTGGGGTACATACCATCCCCACGGTTGTTAGTTCGGCCAAGCTTAAAAACAATATAGCCAGCATCCCCTAGTCTCTTGTCATAGAGATCAACAAGCTCTTCATTCCCAACCCAAAATTCCTTGAAACATATTTTAGCATAGTTTTAGCTTGGGCATCACACACAATGCAATTAAACAGCCAAAAGGGAGAAGTGTTTTATCTAAACATTTATTTGAAAGCATCCCGCCCTTTTAGGTAATTTCACCTGGAAAATATTTATTTGAAAGCATCTAATTAACCAAACAACTATACAGCTAAATCAATCTTCGAATGAATGCTGTTAGCACAAAAAGAAAAATCTCATAAACTTTTCATATATAAAACAACAAATTACAAAAAAAAAGTGAGAGAAAAATAAATCAAATCCTTTTAGGGTTAGTTCTTCTTCTTCTTCTTCATTTTGTCTTGCAACTTACCTGAAGGCAAATGATGGAAGATCTTTCATACAATAAGCAATCCAAAATCCTCTGGTTCCTATCCAGCCAAAATTCCCTAAAATGGCTTTCTCTAATCGTCGGTTCCTGCTTTTTTGTTTCCCAAAATTGTTACCAATCATGACATTCCGGAATTGGGATCTCACACACAGAGATCTACCCAGATTTTAATTTTATGATTCATAAACATAGAGAAAAAAAAATAAAAAGAAGCAAACCTCGTGAGTGATTCTTTTGTAAATGGGGGCAAGGATATTGAAGGTTGTGCAAGAAATTGATTCGGGATCGGAGATTGAAGAAGCAATTGCGTAACTGCCGATTCTGGCGGCCCTCCCTTTCGTAGCCTTCCTCCCCATTGTGTATTTTTGAGCCTATAAATGTACGGAATATTATTGGTAGAATTGTTTGAATACAGACTTGAAGATATGTGTGTACGGAATGGGGAAATAGACAAAGAAGAGGAAGGAAATAAGAGAGACAGTAGAATCAAGCAACAGGGAAGCAAGAATGAAGGGAGTAGAGGCAGGGAACGATGAATGAAGATTAAAGTGAACGAAACAATGTTTTATGATGTATTTAATGCTCAGAGAGATTCTGTTTCTGTGGAAGAGAAGAAGAGGAAAGCCTGAGAAACGAAATTATGATGCATTTAATGCTGACAGAGAATCCGTTTCTGCTGAGGAGTAGGACAGCCCTGAGAATCCTTTTTAACTTTTTTTTCTTCCTTTTTTTTTATCATACTACTTTCGGCGTTGGATTTTTTTATTCTATTTTATACTCCATACAATTTAGAGAATGGATATGAATAGATAATACATTATAATAGAGTTAACTCAGTTAAGTGTATTAAAAAAGTATTTACAATAGAAGTATTTCTTGCCCGTCTCAACTCCTGCCACATCAGCACTCCACTAATTTTCAGTTTCATTCTAAAATCATGTAATGTTATCGCTTTAAAAATGCGCATCTTCGTTTATTTTACATTATTCATCATTTTTATTTCAGAACTTATATAAATTCAATACAAATATTTACATATTAATAAAAATAGATGACTAATTTTTAAAAAATAAAAAAGGGTTGCAACAATTAAAAAATTAAAAATAAGCGAATACAACTTTAAAATTACAAAATACTACATATTAAAATTAGATAGAACTTCGACAATGTCAAACTTTCCGCCAGAATATACTTCTTCGGCCCGTCAATCTATTTGGCATTCCTTTTTCTAATGCCTCGCTGATGGGCTCCAACTCAAAAACGCCGTAGTCGGTCGTATTAACAGTCAACAATTGGTAGGGGCTATCATTAGAGTCAGGGGCGGATCCAGCAAGGAGAGTAAGGGGGCAGCTGCCCCCAGTGAATTTATATATATATATATATATATATATATAATGTTTTTATTTAATTGCCCCCAATTAAAAAACAAACCTGCCCCCAACCAGGTTGGCCCAAAACAATTAATAGCTTAAGACCCAATTCAAAAAGTAGCCCAATTCACTCATTGTCCAATTACTAAAAAATAAATACAATTTCCCCTCCCCCAATCCCTTGCTTTGTCCGTATCGAGAAGAGGAGCTGAGCAGCCGCCGAATTTGCCTAGAACCTGGAAGCCAGAACATTTCGCCGCATCGACCGTCCGCTACGTCGCCGCCGAGCACCACTGCACCAGCCACCAGGTATTTCCAAATAATTTTGTTTCCTTTTTAAATTATGAACTAAATAATTAGATAAATGTGAAAATTAGATTTATGTGTAATGTTTGATTGGTGTGAAACCTTTTGAGTAATTTGTTTTTATATTTCAATTTTCTATTTGATGAAATTTTTTATTATGTTGAATTGTTGGTTATTATTAATTATAATTTATAATTGTCCCATAACATATGAATAATGAATTGATGACTCTAGTCTCTAAAAATATATTAATTCTAAATTGATATATTTAAATAATTTTCTCTAATTTTTGGACATAGATTTAGTAAAAAAGTATATTTCATTTTATGTTTTTAGATAATGGAGAAGTTTTTTAAATGGAAGTCCCCCTCAACACCGACAACACGTGATTCTGGACCATCTGTACCTTCAATAGCTAAAGAAATAGATTTAAGTGATCTTCCGTGGGATCCTTCAGACAGAAAAAAGATTTTAGTGTATCACCCTAATCAAAGAGATGAAATAAGAAGAAAATATTTGATTAGAGGACCGTGTCAACCGCGTGGCCATGATTTTCCACGCAGAATGATTGGGAACAGTCCAAGGCATTTTATTGAAGATTGGTTTGATAAATATCGTAATTGGTTAGAATAGAGTGTGAAAAAAGACAAAGCCTATTGTTTGTATTGTTACCTTTTTAGAGATCAATTTGGAAGACAAGGTGGGAGTGATGCATTTGTTGTTGAAGGTTTTAATAGTTGGAATAAGACAGAAAGATTTTCAAGCCATGTGGGTGATGTGAATAGTTTTCATAATAAAGCACTTGAGAAATGTGAAGCTCTAATGAAACAAAATCAATCTATACATGTTGCTTTTCATAAGCAAAGTGACTTGGTTAAGAATGAATACCGAATTGGGTTGAATTCTTCCATTGATGCTTGTAGATTTTTGTTGAAGTGCTCATTACCATTTCGTGGTCATGATGAGTCGGAAAACTCATTCTTTAAAGGAAATTTTCTAGAAACTATTCAGTTAATTCGAGAGCAAAATGAGTCTGTTCGCAGAGTTACATTAACAAATGCACCAGGCAACAACCAAATGGTAGCTCCAAGCATTCAAAAAGATATTTGTGATTGTTTTGCTCAAGAAGTAATAAAATTCATTCTTTATGAAATTGGTGATAATATCTTTGCCTTGATGGTGGATGAATCAAGTGATGTTTCAAAAAAAGAACAAATGGTTGTAGTTTTACGATTTGTTGATAAGAATGGAATTGTTAAAGAGAGGTTTGTTGGTCTCATACATGTGAAGGATACATATGCTTTGTCACTCAAGTGTGCTATTGATTGTTTGTTTGCTGAATATAATTTGAGTTTGATGGAGCTTAGGGGACAAGGTTATGATGGTGCAAGCAATATGTCTCGTGAATTCAAAGGCTTGAAAGCTTTGATTTTAAATGAAAATCCTTCTGCATATTATGTGCATTGCTTTGCCCATCAACTTCAATTAGTAGTTGTGACAATTGTCAATGAACACTTAGGTGCTGGAAATTTTTTTGACTTAATATCTACTCTCATGAATGTTGTTTGTGCATCTTGCAAGAGAAAAGATATGATTCGAGAGAGTCAAAAACAAAAATTGGAAGAAGCAATTGGAAATGATGNAAGTTCTTAAATATGTTGAGGATGAAGCAGATAAGAGGGCTAGTAAGACACAAGCAATTGGTCTTCGAGTTTATTTTAAATCATTTGAATTTGTGCTCTACTTGCATTTAATGCTTAGTATTTTAGGAGTTACAGATTTATTATCACAAGCTCTTCAAAGGAAAGATCAGGATATCTTGAATGCGATGTCTTTGCTAGAATCAACAAAATATCAATTGAAGATGTTTAGAACGTCAGAATGGTTTGATTCTCTCTTGGTGAAGATATCAACTTTTTGTGTTAAATATAATATTCAAGTATTGAACATGAAAGGGGATTATGTTAATCCGAAAAGTCAAAGACAAAAGACCGGTTTCACAAATCGACAATATTTTGAGGGTCTTTGTTGCAACCAAGTTTTGGATTTGGTGAATAATGAGTTTGATGACCGCTTTAATGAAGTGAGCTCCGAATTGCTTATCTGCATTGCTTCTTTGAATCCACGTAACTCGTTCTGTGATTTTGACAAATCTAAAATATTGAGGATGACTGAAATGTATCCCAATGATTTTAGTAATGGTGACAGGATGAGTCTTGAAAATGAGCTTGACCTTTATATTCACAATGTGCAAAAAGATGAAAGATTTGGTAACTTGAGTGGTTTAGTTTAGCTTGCTAAAGTGATGGTAAGTACAAGGAAAAATTTTACATTTCCTTTGGTGTATCGCTTATTGAAGCTTGCCTTGGTTTTACCTGTTGCTACGGCAACCGTTGAGAGATGTTTTTCAGCAATGAAACATGTGAAGTCGGATTTACGGAATCGAATGGGGGATGAGTTTTTGAATGCTTGTGTGATTTGTGCTGTGGAAAAGGAAGCCTTTTTAAATGTTACAAATGAAGATATAATTGATCGCTTTCAAAAGATGAAAACTCGAAGAGGACAATTGTAAAAGGTATGTTCTATCTATTTAATTGTACCTTGTTTTTTAATTTAATTTTAATGGCAAGAAGTATGTTCTATCTATTTAACTGTCTCTTATTTTTAAATTTTTTTTCACTTTAATTTACGTAATGCCCCCAGCGAAAAAATTTTCTGGATCCGCCACTGATTAGAGTCTGAGAACGGGGCAAAGTCGTCACCAGGTAAAAAGTCGGAGTTTGCAAATCAGATGACGACATCGAGTTTGGAATCCTCAAAGTATAAATTATTGCCCTTGGGATTCATTTCTTGGTTGTGAGAAAAGAGAGAGATAAGAGTGAATTGAATGAAATGAGAATGAAAGAATTGAAACTCAAGATGTATTAAATTTGTTAAGTTGAATAGTAAAAAAATAATCAGTCCAGCGCGACGGAGCATCGCAATGTACATCCGTCCGTCCAAGAGCGCCGTGTTTCATAGATGGCGGGGCACCACGACATTTTATACGACGGGCGTCCTACAATGGGAGCCTGGCGTTGCACGACTCTTTTTCCTTTTAGCGCAACTCTAAGTATTTTTATTGCAACGTCACTTCTTAAGTTTTAGTTTTTCGGAATGAAATTTTTAAATTGCATCTTTCTTTAATTAATTTTATTTATAACTTGTTTTAAAAATTAAAAATAAATACGTTACATTTAAAAATTATATTATAAAAGCTTCATAAAACAAGTGGTGATATTCAGATTTTATTTTTTCAAATAATCTAAAAATACATACGCGAACGAAATTTATCAAAAGTCAGGAATAGCAAATAGAACGATAATTTAGGAACAGAGGGAGTGTATCTTTTGATATAATAGCTAAATATATAAATTCTAAGATCGACGTCATATATTTTAGAGGTGGCAATCAGATCAATCAGATTAATTCTAGTTTGAAATAATTCGATTCGAATATATTTCGATTATATGTCATAATCTAATCAGTTCGGTTCGAATCAGTTTAGTTTAACTTCGATTTGGATTTAATTCATTTCCACATTTTTAAGTTCTGGTTTGCTTGGGGTCGGTTCAAATACGGCGCTTCGGATACATTTTTGGATACATTTTGGATACATTTTTGTTTGAATATATGTTGGTTTCGGATACATTTTTCATATATGTTATTTTTGTATGAAAATTTAATTTTCAGTGTTCTTTTTTATCATATCGCATTTATCAATATATCAACTCATATTGTTTTATACTTTTCTAATTATACTCTCTTCGCCCTAAATGATATTCCTTTTTTACTTTTTAGTCATACTTTTTAGATATGGATTGTGAGTTATGAAAAAAGACATAGTATTGTATTTAGTTATTATATAAATTTAATATAATTAGATTGATTTTAACATGTAGTTCCAAAATATTAAACATTTAGTAAAATTAAATAAATTTAATTGATATTCATTCAATTTCACTCCTAAAATTATTGCAATGATTGAGATTGAATACAAATGAGAGCCTAATTTAGTAAAATTATTTTAAATTCAATTAATTTTATCCTTAATTAGATAAATTGAATATAATTACTTTAAATTGCAGTAAAATTATATGAAATTGAAAAAAATTGTTGGTATTAGATGAAATTAAATCCAATTAGACAAAATACAATAAATACGAGTTCAAATCAAGTATATAAAGAGATAAAAACTAAATCGAAATGATGTTTTGTTCCAATCAAATATAATTGAGTCTAATGAGATGAAAAATTGATTAAAATTAAAAGTAGGGGTGGATTCAATTTTGGCAGTTCGGTTTTCACCCAAAACCAAAGACAAAAATGGAAGGTAAATTGACGGTTCGGTTTGGTTCGGTTTTGCATAAGAAATATGTAAACCGTTGGTTATTCGGTTCGGTTTTATACGGTTTTTATTTCGGTTTTTTCGGTTTATAAAAGTAGAAATTTATAAGCATTAAAAAATTATAAAAACAATAACTTGATGAAACAATAACAATATGTAGTGTTAGCTTTGGTTTTTTGTTTGATTTTTACACAAAAACAAAACCAAACGGAAGGTTATTGTTCCTTTTAGTTCAATTTTACATAAGAAATATGTGTTGAGTGCCTAACAAACATTTAGAAGATTCTAAATACTTTCAAAGACATCGTATGTAAAATCAATTACGAAGAATTTATAATTTTTGTATAATACTTTTATTTTCATTATAACATCAAAATATTTTTTATGTAGATATGTAAATTACGCGTATCAATTTTTAATCTTAATATAATTCTATATTAGGATTAGCTATTGTGTTCATATATATTCCTAAGTTTTTTTAAAGTTTATAATAATATGGCTAGAATGTTTAGTTAATAGATAAGAAAATAATTTTAATCGACTAGTAATTTATTTGCATTTATATTTCTATGATTTTTCAACATATCACATATATTCATATAAATAAAGCGAAGTATCTAAGAAAGTTCGGTTTATTCGGTTCGATTCGGTTTTTCAAAGTGAAAACCAAAACGGAACCAAACACTAACGGTTCGGTTCGGTTCGGTTTTTTACATTTGGTTTTGGTTTTTTTGGTTCGGTTTTTTTCTAGCTCGTTTCGATCGATTTTGGTTCGGTTTGCGGTTTTTCCAACCCAGCCCTAATTAAAAGTACCCCGTTCAATTTTTTCGATGATTTGTGTATCCTATAAGAGTAAAATGACTATGATTGTCGTTGTAGATAGTGTTATATTGACCAATATCTCTAAACCAATAGTGTTATATTGACAATTATCTCTAAACCATTGTCATATGTACGTGGAGTCGATTAGTTCTTAATATATTTTCCTTGAATATTGCTATGTGTGGTGAAGTGTTAAAGAGCCAAAGAAGAAGTGAAACAAACACAAAAAAGTTATACAATGATTGCGTATACTGAAGTGCATATACTTAAGTTATAAAAATAGTGAAGACTCCTCACAAAAACTGTCAGCAGCAATAGGCTAAGACAAACTAAAAAGATTTTTTGAATACTGAAGAGTGTTCCATAAAGTAAATGGTACCTTACATTTTGAATGCTTAAGACAAACTAAAAAGATGCCAAGGTCATATATACCTCTACAGGGGTGTATATATTGTTGAGTGTGAAGCCAGGAAGCTAGGTGGAAGGTAACAGGAAATTGGCAGGAAGCTACCTAGAAGCTTACGGCTTAATCATTGTCTCCCTAACTAATCTCTATTTAAGAGACGCTAATGTACTTGTACTTGTGGTGCAATAACAAAGAAATAAAATCCTCCTAGTTGCCCCGTGTGGACGTAGGTTGCAGTTGGCGACCGAACCACGTTAAATCCTATGTCGTTTATTTTTCTGCAGTTGATTCGTGATTGTGTGTTGTTTTCGCGTGCGTTTATCCCAACAAGTGGTATCAGAGCGTTGGTTCGTCAACACCGGAAATCCGATCAGCAGAAACTAATCAGAGGAGTGTCACCTAAAGAACCCTGTGTAGTAGCAGGAGCATGTGTTTGGGCCGCTGCCGCCGGAGCACCACCATCCCCGTCGATCCACGGAGAGCTACCGCGCTTGAATCGTGAAAGCCGCAGCAGGGAGTGAGTCACGAGAGACTCGCCGCTGCCGCCTTCAGAGGTGCAACCGCTAGTCTGTCCAGCCGCCGTCACTAGCCGCGCACAGAGGAGCAGCTCTAGTCCATCCAGCCGCCACCACTAGCCACACCCAAATCGGAGGAGCACAGATCAGTGTTGCGAGCAGGGGGTCATCCGACCGCTCGCCGATCACTGACGCTCAAGATTTCATGCCACCGTTTCTTGCTTGCAGACCGCCGCCGCTGGGCGTTAGTTCGCGCAGTAGGCAGATTCACCGTCGCTTGACCATCGCGAGGGCGCGTCGCTGCAGCTGCTCAGCCGCGAGCCGTTGCTGCCGTTCAGAGCGCAAGTAGCTGCCGCCCAGGTTGTGAGAGCCACTGCCTCCGATATCATCCTAGGCCGCCACGCATAATTCCAGCCTCCGTCATTGTATCCTAGCTACAGTGCCCGATTTTCAATTTTGAAGATAAGAAAAGGTTGGTGCACAATTGCCTTCCTTTTTTTTGGTGCTGATTTGGACTTGTGGCATGATTTTTCATTTTTTCTTTGGAATTTGGAGATAGTGGTGGGCCAGTATAATTGATTGGTCTTGGACCATAATTGGTGGGGGGAATTTTTCTGGGTGGTGTCAATTTTTTATGTCCTAGATATTTTTTTATCTGATAAAAATATCAAGATCTGAAATTAGTTGTACCGGGTATCTCATCTTGTCATTGGAGATGACAGAAGATGGGAAGTTCCGAATTGAGAAGTTCGATGGTACAGATTTCAGTTGGTTGAGAATGCAAATTGAAGATTTGCTGGTTCAGAAAGATTTGGACGTGGTATTGGGTGACAAGTCAGAAAAGATGTCAGATGCAGATTGGGCAGGTTTGGATCGGAAAGCAATGTCCGTGATCCGACTCTCGTTGACCAAGAATGTTGCGTTCAACATTCTGAAGGAGACGACAGCGAAAGGTATCATGGAAGCGCTGTCTAACATGTACGAGAAGCCATCTGCGGCAAACAAAGTGTTTCTGATTAGAGAATTGGTGAACACAAGGATGAAAAATGGCACTTCAATTACCGAGCATATTAACAAGTTGAATTTGATCTTAGCCAGACTTTTGTCAGTGGGCATTAAGTTCGATGATGAAGTTCAAGCTTTACTACTATTATCGTCATTGCTTGACACTTGGTCTGGAACTGTTACAGCAGTTACCAGTTCAGCGGGACCTGACGGATTCACTTTAGAGAAGATTCTGTTAGCCTTGATTTGCTAAGCCTCATGTTTTGATGTTAACAAACAATATAAGAGCTTGACGTTTGTTTAAGTGTTTTAGGTACAACAAGAATCCATTAAGATTCGGTACTCAAGAATGAAGTTAAAACACCAAACTAGCGTAGAATATAGGTAGAAACCAATGTAAGGATATGATTTTATATACCTATATTCACAAGCTCAAAAACACTCACAAAATATGTTTAAAACCCTTTTATAATCATTTTCAAACATCCAAAAGGTTTTAAACAAAATTGGAAATGATTTGGACAAAAATGAAAAAATTGTCAAAATGGTCATAAGGTACCTAGGTACCGTACGCACGGGACCCCCCTACCGTGTGGACGGGACCCCCCTACCGTAAGGGGTACCGTAAGAGATAGGTACTGCTAGAGAGTTTTGGCCTGAGAAGGTACCTAGCTACCGTAAGCATGGGACCCTCTACCGTGTTGACGGGACCCCCCTACCGTGACCGTTGGATTACTGTTCATGATTTGTGATTTTGACTTTAATCAATCCTAATCACCTCCCAACGGCTAATTAACATCTTCCACTATAAATACAAGCCTAATCCTTCATATTTCTTCAAGAAACATAGCTCTAAACATCCTCTCTTTTTATTCCAAGTGTGTTCATCCTTCTATTAACTATTTTCAATATTTTGGCTATTTTAAGAGCCTTAAATTCCTAATTTTTGTACACACACTTTGAGCTTGTGTTTCTAGTTATATACTCTCATATTCATAAGTTTGAATTGTATTTTTGAGAGAGTATACTTTCCTTCTACACCGGCTAAGTTTTGTTCTTCATTTTTATATTCAAACCGTTGTATAGAACTCTTGTTTGTGTTTTTCAAACACATCTTTATACGGTCAAGAATAGCCGTTAAATTCTCATATTGTATCGGTCGAGGATAACCGTATAAATCCTTGGGTAAAGGTTCAAGGATAGCCTTTGAAATCCTTGGGGGAACGGTAGAAGATAGTCGTTAAATCTTCATTGTAAACGGTTCGAGATAGCCGTGGTGAAATCTCGGAGTAAATCCTATTGGCAAGGGTTGTTTGCCAAACTAGTACGGTGCTTTGACGGAGTTCAAGAGACCGAGACTTAGTGGATTTGGAAATCCTTGAGGAGGAGTCTCGAGGTACTGGAGTAGGGAGTTCCCGAACCAGTATAAATTCGGTGTGCATTTTATTTACGCTTTTATTTTTGCGTTTTATATATTGCTTCCGCATTTGCCAACACCATTTTTATTAAACTCCGAAAAGTTTTCTAACGCCTTATTCACCCCCCTCTAAGGCGTGGGCACAACAACTAAAACGAATAACCGATTCGTGACCTCGTTCTTGGCGAAGATGTCAGAAGAAGGAGTTCTGGTGAGTCTTCGGAAGAATCACTAAATATCGTTAGAGGCAGAGGAAATAACAGAGGTAGTGGGAGCAGGAACAGACGAATGAGTCGATCGAAGACTCGGGATAGCTCAGGCGTAACATGCTGGAAGTGCAAGGAGATGGGGCATTTTTGGAATCAGTGCCCGAAAGAGGATAAACAAGTTAACATTGCTAGAGGCTCCGCAAGCGACGAGGATTTGTTTGTCTGCTATGCTGAGAGCAGTGTGGATTCCTGGGTCATGGATTCTGGTGCTTCATTTCATGCTACCCACAGCAGTGAAGCATTACAGAATCTATTGTTGGGGACTTTGGAAAGGTACGGCTAGCAAACGACAGAGTTCTTTATGTGACGGGCATGGGTGACATAGTGCTGAAGACCCCAGTCGGTTTCTGGACTTTGACGGATGTCAGAGTGGTTCCAGCCTTGAAGAAAAGTTTGATTTTTGTCAGGCAGTTGGACGAACACGGACACGAGGTGATGTTCGGAAACGGGCAGTGGAAGGTCGTGAAGGGAAATCTTGTCATGTCCCGCGGAAGGAAGAGTGGGTCGCAGTACATGGTCGAATTACCGTCTGAGGGAGTGACCGTCCCAGTTAAGACGAGAAACAAAGTCCGGTTCACAGAGTCTCGTGGGCAGAAGAAGGTTTTCTATGCAAGAGAGAAACCCAGAGCCACAGGTCAGACTTAGGATGAACGAGCAAGGAAAGGTTCAAGGAGTCTAATTAGAGGTATCTATGGCAGTGGGAGCATAGGTGGTGCTTCAGCCAAGGTTCTTAGAAGACAGTGGGTCCAAAGAACCAGTATTCCAGCTGTTGAAATGTCTCTAGAAGATTTCTTGCTGACTATGGAGATTGTTTGTTCTCAGGATGTTCCAGGATCCGGCAGTGCATGTGTGCAGTGGGAGCCGGTAGGGACCGAGGATGAGTCAGGGGCAGTTCAAGCCATGACTGATGGGTTGAAACTTAGGAGAGTTTCAACAGAGTCTTCTCGATGATCAAGAAGGCTGGTGTCAACTAGAGGTGGTGGAATTTTGAGCTCCCTTAACAGATTACAGAAGTACATGTGCACAATTTAAGTGCAGGTGAACATTGTTCTGTGGCTTCAAGTGGGAGATTGTTGAGTGTGAAGCCAGATGCTAGGTGGAAGCTAACAGGAAATTGGCAGGAAGCTACCTAGAAGCTTTCGGCTTAACCATTGTCTCCCAAACTAATCTCTATTTAAGAGACGTTAATGTACTTGTAATTGTGGTGCAACAACAAAGAAATAAAATCCTCCTAGTTGCCCCATGTGGACGTAGGTTGCAGCTGGCGGCCGAACCACGTTAAATCCTGTGTCGTTTATTTTTCTGCAGTTGATTCGTGATTCTGTGTTGTTTCCGCGTGCGTTTATCCCAACATATATTGACAGTAAATGTAACGCCCCGAAAACTGGCTTAGCTGTTATTTTATTCAAAATAAATATTAAATTTATTTACTCAAAAACATGAATTAATTGTGAAGTTATCCGTTTTAAATGAAAATTGGGTTTTCGGGTAGATCTCGTAAAATGGTGACCAACGGTATATAGTTTGTTAAAATTGGACATACGTATGAAGCATGGTGAGTAAAACAGACATTACATCTCAATAAATAAATATAAGGATTTTATAATAAAATAATAATGAATTTATTTAAATATAAGGATTTTACAACATGATTAAATTTATTTACTCAAAAACATGAATTTATTTACTCTAAATTGTGTGATTTGCATGACGGTAAGTGGAAGGTGGTTACACCCGCCACTAGGCCGCTAGTTGAGTTATATGATTGGTTATCTGATCATTGTTACCCCTCTTGTGTTAATTAAATGCAATCATGTTGTAATTTGGAAGTAAATAAGAAATAGAGATTTATGTTGGAATAAGTCTGAATGGTAGAGATGTTGTAAGTAAATGGCTAAGTTACCTAGAGGAACTCTAGGACTGCTTTAGTACAATTGTAAGTATAAATGTCAATAGATAGGATCAGCCCTGCGGATCTGATATTTGGCGGCTGCGGGTTAAAACGTACGTACGGGATCCAAGAACTGTCGTTCCGAAGGGGACAGGGGTACCACCCACCCAGCGGAGAACTTCTTCGTTGGTCAGGTTGTGTTGTGTCATAAGGTGCTAAATAAGGTAGGCTTGAGTCATGGCCGAAGGTAGTGGCTCCAAGTCCGAACATAAGGTTGTAAATAAGGAGGTATGGACTTAGTCTGGTAATTATGTTATGAGCAATGAATAAAGAGGAAATAAGGTAATGATTTGTGACTGGTGAATTTATTTAATGATTGGTATGTGATATTATACTGTTAAACTTGTGTGCATGATATTGTATGGAATTATGAGCTAGTGGGTTCGTCTATGTGCGTA